AAGTAAAAATATTACTTGATTGCCAAATATCTGAATAGTGCTTGAAAATGTACATAATACAAAAGAAAACAATAATGTTTTGTATTATAATTGTTAGTTTGGTACATTCATCTTTACCATGTTGGCAACACCAAGTCTCTCCTCTGTGTGCGAGCTATGGATACCGTTATAATATTGTGTACGTGTTGTTAAGTTTCAATAAAAAATGTGAAAAGATACATTTCTTGTTTTTTCGACTTGCTTCTTGATATGATATCGGTTTATTTAACATGGTAGCAGTTCTCGTGATTTGTGAATATGAATTAAGAATTTAGTAGTTATAGTTTGTTTTAAAAGTTACCGGTACTAGCGTAAAAATGGCATGTACAAGAAGCAGTGATATCGGCATACCGCTATTTGATGGTTCGGACTATTTTAATTGGAAAGTGCGCATGATAAAATTTCTTCAATTAAAGTGTAAAGATGTGGTTCAGCGAAAAGTCAGTGAAAACGATGACGTGGAAAAATGGGAAGAAAAGGTTATCCAAGCTACAAATTACATTTACAGTGCCATAACAAACAAGCAATTGGAATATATTCACGAGTGTGAGACTGCATTTGATATAATTACGAAATTTGATGCAACGTGTATTTAAAAACTTCAACATCTCTACAAATTGTTTGTCGAAATAACTTAGAATGTGTGGAAACTGAATGTGTAAAACTTCTCAAAGTCATAAAAAAATGTATCCTGATGTAAATATATTTTTCGATGATTTTGAGAAGTATGTGAACGAGCTGAAACATGCCGGCGCCACCGTGATGGAACAAGAAAAATTGAACTATAGGCTTATAACATTACCTTCAAATTATGGTCACATTGGTTACTTGATAGATGTATTACCAGAGAAGGACAGAACAGTCAATTACTTAAGAGCAAAATCAAATCAAAATTACTTGAAGAGAAAAATGATTATGAAGATTGTGCACCAGCAGAAAAATCAAATGCGTTCATAATTGAAACAAGCAAATCGGGTCTATAAGGGAATGTCTGTTATAATTGTGGAAAACCTGTCACATTAAAAAGAATTGTTGGAATGTCCATTTAGTACTATCGTGGTAATGGCTCCACTAATTATCATTGTCGAAGTGCTTCAAACAATCGAGAAGGTATTCGTGCTTTTAGTGGACATCATGGACGCGGAGCATACTCTAACCACAGAATAAACAGTCATCAAGGCAATAGTTTTTACACCACTGTTATCAAAAGTAACATGACAAGTTCCAGTGCAAATACTGTGACGAATAAAAATGTGATCAATTGGTTACTGGATAGCGAATACCACGTTATAAACAGTTTTATTATTATTACCACATTATAAACAGTTTATGAATATTTCAAAGAGCCAGTCACTTTGAAGGATCCTATGATGATACAAATAAGAAGAATGAACCTCAAGAAGTGTCATGTGGATCGAGTAATGATGACTCCAAGGACAGTGTGATAAATGAAGATGAAACAAAAAGTGGAATGAGTCCAAGAAGGCAAATTAAACCACCAGTTCGATTTCATGAGGAATTCGGGTACTACTGTGTTAGTGCAAATTTTTGTGATGCTACAGTTCCAGGTAACTTTGAAAGAGGCGACAACATGCAGCGAGGCTGGACATTGGAAAGAGGCAATGGACAGTGAAATGAACAGTCTTGTTAAAAACGACAACACTTGGACACTAGTGACTAAACCAGAGGATAAAGCAATTCTAGATGTGAAGTGGGTATTCAAAAGAAAACCAGGTAATGTTTTTAAAGTGTAATGTTTTATTCCATGAGTTCAAGGTTCCATTAGTGGTTCGAGGTTTCCAGCAAAAAGATAGTATTGACGATACTTACTCCCTTGTCATTAAGATGCAAACCTTAAAATTGCTACTTTCATATTCTTGTCAGTATAATTTAAATATTCATCAAATGGATGTTGAGACTGCTTTTTTAAATGGTTATGTTGTATCTGAGGTTTATGTTAAACAACCACAAGGTTATAATGATAATTTGAATAGAGTGTATAAATTAAAGAAAGCACTGTATGGGTTGAAAGAAAGCCCATATGCTTGGTATGAGTGTTCTAATGAGTATATTGAGAGTTTACAATTTTGTAGAAGTAAATATGATTATTGTTTTTATGTAAAATTTGAAAATGATATATTTGTATATACTCTTTTATTTGTTGATGATTTGTTGATATGTTGCAAAGATAGTCAGGTAATTAATGATATTAAGGAACAACTACATAATAAATTTAAAATGAAGGATTTAAATAAATTAAAAGCTACATCTGAATTGATATTGAATATGATAATGAGAAAAGTAATATCTTAACACCGAGTCAGGAAAATTATATTGAATCTTTAGCTAAACTGTATTGTATTGAAAATTCAAAGCTACACCAATGGAGCTACACCAATGGATTCATATACCAATGAAGATTAATCTTAAACTAAGCCAATCTAATTTAAATCAAAATGTCAAATATAGAAATCTAATAGGAGCACTCTTGTATATTAGTCATGGTACTAGACCAGACATATCTTTCAGCTTAAATTATTTAAGTAGATTTTCAAAATTTTATGATGAGACATATTTCAAATATGCTTTGAGATTTTTAAAGTATTTGTACTAACAAAAACATCTATAATTAACCTATAGTAAAAATCTTAAACTGATTTATGAATTGTTATGTTGATGCTGATTGGGCAGGCGATATTGTTGACAGAAAATCAACTACTGGGTTTGTTATTATTTGGTAATCCAATTTATTGGAAATCCAAAAGGCAAAGTTGTGTGACAAACTCTTCCACTTTTGCTGAGTATATTGCTCTATCTGGGCTGTGACAGAAATTGCTAAAAATTGTTATGTTTTTGGAACTTCGCCCCACTTTATGAAAATTCAATTGGCCATTGCAATTATGGGAACATTAAAAATAAAAAACACATAGAAGTTCAATATCATTATGTACATGAAAATGCTCAAAATGGAGTAATTGAAATTTTATAAAGATTGATTCAGAATCAAATATTACAGATATCTTTGCTAAGTCTTTAGGAAAGATTAAATTTATGAAATTCAGAGGTTTGAAATTTAAATAAATTTTGTATACTGTTTATTTAAATGATGTTTATTTAAATATTTTTGCTTGAGATGAAATAGATTTTGATAATGTCCTTATGTAAACTAAATTGTATTTAACTTTGATTTTAAATTTAAGTTAATGAAGAAATTTTTTGAAATAATTTGTGGTTAAGTGTTTGAATGTTATTTTATATCTATGCTTAATTGTAAATGGTAAAGATGAAAAGCTTGTTATATCTATGTTTATTTGTAATTAGTAAATATAAATGTAAGGAGGCGGTTAGTTGGGTACATCTTACTAGGGCACACCAGTCTCTCCTCCGCATGCGAGCTATGGATGCCGTTGTAATGTTGTGCACGTGTTGTTAAGTTTCAATAAAAAATCTGAAAAGATACGTTTCTTGTTTTTTCGACTTGCTTCTTGATATGATATCGGTTTATTTAACAATGATGAAGATCCATTATATATTAGGAAGGTCACTAAAGTATAGGTTACTTAAGTTTATATAAAATTTATTCAAAGAGGAAGCAAAATAGAATGAATGGCTGTGTTGGCTATATGCTAGGCTAAGTATGTTAGAATAGAAAATATGCAAATATACACTACATTTTTTATGGACTAATAAACATGCAAGATGTTAATTCATTTACATTATATGATGGTTGAATAAATATTGTTCTTGCACAAATTCTTTGAATAATTGTTTTGAAGGGTGTAACAGCACGTGAAATAAATCTGTATTTATAGAATTTTTTTTTACCATTTTTTTTTTTTTTTGCTATTATAGGATTTTAAAAAAAAAAGTATTTCGATTAGTATTTATTCTCTTTGTGCCGAAAAAGATGCTAATCAATTATTATACCTGAAGTCATAAGGCATTAGCCCTGTCCTGGGATGATGCTCAGGCATAGAAGAATTATACATTTTTATATTGGAGCAGAAATTAGTACTTCTTGATTATAGCAGCCTTAAAGAGACAGAGAAACTGGCATTGATATATTTTTGTCTTAAGAAAGCGTGATTTGTTACCAAATGTTTTAATCAACCCTGAAAACAAAACTGATACAACAGTGACTGATGACAAAAATTTTAATTAGTACATGATTTACATTTTTCAGCTGCTGTAATTATTACTAAATTGGCAATTTTCATTGCTAAAATTTCCAATGCATGTACTATTTTTAGTTTGCCACTGGCTGAGAAGGATGATATAACTACTGTTTTGTTTATGTCTTGCATTTCTTCAGTGCTCCTGCCTTGACCAGCATGTTTTAGAAATCTCTTACTAGTTTGATCTAGTAAAAGTCTAGAAAGAGACTTTCATGACAAAACTTACTGTCTAGTACAATAGATGAACTTATGGACTGTAATACCAGTTATTGCCATGAAAAATATGTTTGACTCCATGCCCAGCAATACAGCAACTGTTACTGTTGCCAGAAGTGGATGCCATGGATACTGATTTCTGCATATTCTGTAGTTTAAAATTATTTGAATTTTTAAACATTTCGTCCTTCCATTATAATGTATTTGTAAAGTAAATATGGTTCTGCTAACTTTCATTACTGCTTAACTCATAACTGCTTTCTTTCATTTTAATAGCTGGCAGTGTAAAAGAAAATCCAATTAAATGAAATGTAATATCTTTAAGTATGGTCCATTACAGATTGGCTCTCAGTCATATGTTAATAGTTAAAATAAAGTGCAGCATATAAATATACATACAATCAAAATATAGTAAAAATAATTTGTGCACATTATATGCAAAATTTTATTCATGGCTCTAAATTCATTCATTTTTGAGGTCAGTTAGTGTTTCTAAGTGAATTATTTCCCACCAGCAGATGAATGAATACCATTATTTTACTTTTGCTAATTCTTGTCTTTATCTTATAGATTTAATGCTGCAACTGTCAGAGAAATACTAAAATCAATACTCATTGAAGAATTTGGAAATAAAAGATATTCCTCTATTGATGTTCCAGCTAAAGCCAAGAGCTTATCTGAAGTTGTAGTGAACAAAATGAAAGGTATCCTGTTCTTTTTCATTGTTTGCAAGACACAGTAGTTAAAAATACATTGTTTTGATGTTATTGTCATATTGCTTAAAATATGCTAGATTGTGATTTATGATATAATTAGTGAAATTAATGGTCTGTGATCATTAGATTATTTATGTGTATGCTGTTTCATTCTCTGATCATCTAAATATTATTCAGTACAAAGTCCAAAATTCGGAAGTCCAATATCTGGATCTCTGGACCACCAGCCAAAATAAAAAAAATAAAATAATAATAAAAAAAAAAAAAATTAAACTTTTCAAATTTTATATTACACACGTTTCAAGAGCATTTGGGCTAAAAATATTTAAAAACAGCATAGCTTTAGAATTTCAATAGATGGTCTCTTGCTGGAGATAAAAATGTTTTATTCCCTACAGTGTTACCACTGCTCACTTTGAAATTCTTGAGTTTCAAAAACTGTTGAAGTTTTACAAAATATGAAATAGACAATGAAGCAAACTCGAAATTTGGGCTTCCAGGTGTCCGTGTTCAGGTGGAGGACTATGTTATTTAAAATTTGATGACTCTAGGTACCATTTTACATTCATGGAGATTCTTCATTATGTTGTTTCTTTCAATACAGGGTGATAGTATTTGTGGCAACAATTTGAAAAGTGATATATCACATTTAAGTGATTTAACGCAAATGCTGTTTTGAGACTGATAGACTGATGCTCCTTTGTGCTAAAAAAACCCCACAAAGTTTGGGAAAGGAGAATATTTTATATTAAAAGGAAGCAGGTGTGCTGTAAATATAATTTTTCTCTGGTTTTAGATTTCCACAAGTTATTTTCAAACACCTGCTGGCTAGGGAATCAAACTGTAGCCAGTAGCAGTCATTGATGCTAGCCAGGATTACACTTGCAGCCTGAGTAGTTGTTGCGGAAGGCATGGCATTTTACACCTGGTGTGCAGTCTCTTCGAGTCCTAAATTCTGTTGCTCGGTACCTGCCTAAATTCTAAAACCTTTTCTGCCCCTAAATTCTGCTGTCTAGTGCTTCTCCTAAATTCTAAAAATTATGCTATCTCTAATTTTGCTGCTTGATGTTCTTCTAAATTTTAAAATTTTTGTCATTCCTTAATTCTAAAACCACTACCCACACCCTGTGGGAGGTCAGCATTTTTCTATCTCGTTTAAAAAGCGAAGCCCTAATGTTGCCATGTCTACATGTCATCTTACTATTATTTAAACAAATGATCTAAAATTTATAATTGTCAAATCCCCAGCAATTACAGATCTCAGATTTTGTACTGTCTTAGATTATTGGGTACAAAATAATATAATTTGAAATACAAATATACTTGTAAAGTTTTAACTGCAGTTATTCATTGTGCTTTATTTGACATCAGTACTTGTTGCATTAAATTTTAGGCTAAAATTTATCAAAATGTTACTAAGTATATGTAAATTAAATTTATCAGTACATTTTTAAAATAAGGAGCATTTTTAGGTACTTTCTGATCATCCACACCCCTCAGTAAAATGTCACAAAAAATGCCCTTGAGGCATAGAAAAATGCAGTACAAAGTCCGAGATCTGGATGTCCAATATCTAAAATCTAGACCTTAAAGCCACTACCAAAAATTTGTTTTCAGGAATTTTTTTAATGCTTATGCATGCACATTTAATTTTTTTCCCTGTAAGAAAATGTGGAGAATCCCAATTCTTAATTTCACTTCGGCACTAAATAAAACACCTCGTTATTGAAGAAACAGTTATTTTAGCTTAAATTTGTATAACAATAATTTGGCTCCGTAGCTGCATATCTGCTTATCATACATCTCAAACCAAAACATTCTACATGGGAACATAGTTGATTTTACAACTGCTTATAATATTTTGCTGTCATCATCTATGTGTTGGCCGGTTCACATTTTCATAGATAATATTATTATAGATTCATTCTCCAAAATGGACTGTAAATAAAACTGAAACTCAAATTTAAGGTAAACACACTCCTTTATTAAACCTCTCACCTTCTCCATCTCTTACACTCATTGACTGACTCGTCAGTAACAATTCTTCTAACCGGGGGTGCTGCACTTGCAAGTGTGAGTGTGTTTATCAACACATGACAACTTGAGTATGACTCATGCAGTGATACCTAAACATTTTTTTATATTAGTATTTGAATAACAAAGAGTATGGAAACCTTTTATGTCAACAATATGCTTGGCGATGACTACAGATTTAAGTTAAATGGCTCTAAATGTTGATGAGGAAAAATTTAACGAAAATTTCTTTCCATATGCTAAAAATAGATTTTGTTAATGATACTAATAGGCCAAAAGATTACATTTAGTGCTTTTTGAATTAAGAATAACTGCTTTTTTATTAACATAAACCCAGAACCAATGCCATAGCTCATATGGCTGCACCAGGCTGCAGAATTTAGGCAAGAACAAATTTTTGGAATTTAGAGAAGTACCAAATAACAAAATTAAGGGATGATAAAATTTTCAGAAATTAGGGAAAGCAATGGAACCCAAAATTCTTGGTAGCAAAATTTATGATCCGCAGAGACTGCATCAGACAGTAAAATACCTAGCATTGGCCCTCAGTAAGCTTAAGTACATGTAGGAATTTATTTATTCAGGACTCGGATAAGCCTTAGGCATGTGCAAGAATTAGACACAAGTATAAAAAATAACTAAATTAATACAATTCAGACTTAATTGTCTCAGTGAATGATAGAAATAAGAGAACATTTAACTGAACATTTTGTCTTTCATCACCAGTCTCATGCTGCATAGCCAATAATGTAAATTGGACGCTGTCAAGTTAGGCTAAAATTATACTTTACTGATTCCAAAGAATTTCAGTTAATATAGCAGATTGGACTGCTCCTTAAATTTCTGATTTGATCCAGCTTATTGTTTTTTTGCAGGCTATTATAATCACAGCAATTTTATGAAAACTAAAGTTTGTACTTTCGATTATGTCAAAAAGAGTTTCTGACTCTGGAACTGCAACAGGATATACAAAATGAAAGCATGTTTTGAAGTCCATTTAAAAAAAAAAGTGGAATTGCTGGAAAAAATGGATATAGGTATAATATAGTCTCAAAATTACGTGAGGAGTATGGCATTGGAAAGCTTATATGAGATAACAGAAAAAGGAACTTTATGAATATTTTGTGGCTTCTAACATCCCACTCGCAATGAATAACAGAAAAATTACTCACTGTGCTAAAAGTGATGATCATAACAAAGTGAATGGTCAGAGCGAGATGCAGTGAGGGCATGCCATTGATGGGGACAATGCTAATGGCTCAAGCCGAAATATTTCATAACAAAATGAACTTAAAAATGGAATGCACATATTCGTCAGATTGCTTAACCAAATTTTAAAATTGCCGTGGTATAATGCAGTTAAAAATTTCAGGTGGAAAATTTTCAGCTTATTCTGAAGCTGCTGAACTATTTGCAGATGAATTCAATGAACTCATTACTAGTGAAACATTATCTGCAGAATAAATTTACAATACTGGTCTTTTCTGGCAGTATGTACCTTGAAATACTTTGGCAACCTCTACAAAAAACGACTCTAACCGGTGTCAAAGATTTCAAAGCTAGACTAACAATTTTAGCATGCGCAAATGCTGCAGGAACGCACAAGTGTAGCCTTTTCATAATCAGAAAAAATACACGACCTCACACATTTAAAGGAATAAAGATTTTCCCGTTATATATCGTGCAAATAAAAGAGCATGGGTGACACAAGCATTAATGTATAATTGGTTTGAAAATCATTTCACACCTGAGGCTAAAAAAAATTTGAATTTCTTTGGTTTACCAGATGACACAAAAATTGCCCTGATTGTAGATAACTGTTTGACTCATGTTTCACTTAAAGTTTTAATGAAAGATAATGTATCCGTGCTAGTCTTTTCTACAAACTTTATGTTCATCATTCAGTCTATGAATATTGGAATAGTGCACATGCTAAAATGCAAATGTAAAGGAGCATTTTTAAAATCAATGTTAAATTTCTTGAATAATGACACGACTATTCAAGAATTTAAAGAATATTTTAACATAAAGTCTGCTGTGTGGGGCATCGCAAAATTGTGCGAAGATGTGCCTCCAGATACTTCAAGAAATGCTTAGCATAATTTATGGCCAGCTACCATATTTCATGGGGAGGATGATGAAGATTATAGCCACGAATTTGAAGGCTTTTGGATATCGCAAACCACAGGTGAAATTTTCCAATTAATGGATTTTGTAAAGAAATATAGAAGTAGTAGCAAATGAAACTGATATAACAGAAGTTTGTCATTGTGATGACAATGCTTCAATCATCAATTAACAGGCGGCAAAATCTGTAGTATGGTTCTAGATCCAGAAAATACCACTCTCGACAGTGAAAAAAGTGGCAAAGAAATTCTTGAAAAGCAAAAAAATTCAATTGACAAGTTATTTGGAATTCTTGATGCAGCAACTACAGGACTTAAACAGTGGAGCTTTGTAACTGAACAAGAAATTATATCTGCCTATAAAATTGAAAAGAAAGTATTATCACAAAAAACAAAGCAACTTAAACAAGCGGTTATCAATCTTTCGACTAATGTGAACCACTTAAACAAAAATTAAAAACCTTTAGTCCCACCACTACAAAGCACTACTACCACCACCACTCTTGAACAAAGCTGAGATCGCATAAATTTACGAGTGTTAGAGAAAAAGCTCAATTAGGATGTTGGGGTTTTAATTTTTGAATTTAATAGTTAAAAATACTTTGCTTCTGTACGTACCACCTATTTTTCTCTTGCATACCATCAGTGGTACATGTACCACCGGTTGAGAACCCCTGACTGAAAGAATTTGCATTCAAAGAAATGATTAATAAAGAAAACAAATACACCAAAGGACCATTACATTATGACCACCCTGTTAATAACATGTAGGACCATCTTTAGCTCTAAAATCTGCCAGCATCCAGCATGGCATTGACTCGACAAGGT